GGGGCGGGGCAGTCAGGTGAGGTGTGGTGTGGTGGAAGTAACTCCCGGTGTAGTATAGAGCAAAAACAAAAGTAAACTCATTAACTTCTCGACTTTACTTATTTGACGACATTTCCGTCGTGCCCGCCTCCAGAGTTTGTGGATTCCACACATGGCGTAATTTTTCGCTACCGTGCCGTCGGAGGAGCAGGAGGGCGGTCTGAACGCGTCGCGCACGACATCCGGTGAGTGGCCGGGGCGGAGAGGGGGGTGGGACAGGAGGAAGAAGGTCCCCCCCACCCGCAGCCCTACCGCATCTGACTGCACTACGCCTCGCCACGGCCTGACACAATGCACGTCTCGCCCCCGGAGGAATTAGAGACCCCAAAAAGTAAAGCTTTTGGCCGGTCGACTTTAGCAGCGCCTCCCATTCATTGGGCCGCATTCAGCCATTCATTGATATTCAGCGCATGAGGAACTGATGCCTCGGCTGATGCTGGAGACGCGTCCCACATTGTTCTGAAAACGAATCGGGAATTTTGCGAATTTGTGCGGGGACGTGGGAGGCTGTTTTGAATGCAAGCCGTTCTATCGTTCAAGCTCCTGTAGGTTAGGATATCGACGGTCGCATATTCACGACATCGCGGACTTGTGGAGTTTACAGTAAAACCGTCGCCACTGCTATCCGTCGCCTTGAACCGAACGGCCGGTAGCCGGCAAAGTGGTCGTAGGCACTCGCACACACGCGTCGCCAATCCTAACTGGCGGCAGAAATATGTATAGTGGTCTGATTATCATAAAAGCGGCGCTATGGGGCTCCGCCTGGGCTCCGCCGGCTGCATTAGTTGTGTGTGTCGGTCGTCTTGATTTTGAAAGCATTTTTATGGACTAGGTGTGCAGTGGGCGGCGCTGCAGCAGCACTGTGCGCGCGCCGCACACACACACACACAGCCTAATCCCAGCCGAGCTGCTGCCAAAGCCTTCAACGCGTCATAAAATCGCGCGCAAGCTTTGAGAATTCGCACGGTGGCACGCCCTCATGCTCTAATTTCAGAGTGTAACGCACGAAGCAATGCTTGGAAACCAAAGCAGAATTGCTCGGTTTTCAAGAAGTTGTAGTTGTACTTTCCACATTTTACATTGGGGAGTGTGTGTGTGTGTGTGTGTGTGTGTGTGTGTGTGTGTGTGTGTGTGTGTGTGCGCGCGCGCGCGTCTGTGTCAATGCCATAGTGCATCTTAAAGAAAATCGTACACAATTTTTTTTTAAATCAATGAAAAAGTAATTGTACGGTGGGTTTTTCGGTTGTACCAAGGGGTTAGTCTTTGTGCCGATATACAAAACCCTGTATATCGAAAAGATGTACAATGAAAATTGGAGAAAAAATAAATAAGGGAGGAACGGGTGACTTGCCATATGATGCTTTTGACAAAAGGCGGCAGCCCGCACAGTCCGCGTCAGGAGGAGGTAGGTTTCAGTGGCGAGCTCGTGTGTGTGTGTGTGTGTGAATGCGAGTTTGGGGGAGGGGCTCGCCCCAGGCTCGCCGAAGGGGGTTAAAAAGGAAGGACGACTTTGACCAGGGAGCCGCACCGCGTCCCCGCCCCTTCCTCTGTCTCTGTCGCGGCGGGGCGTGGCGGGGCGTGGCAGGATGCGCGTGGCGTGGCGTAGCGGCGGTGAACCAGAATGAAAAATCCCCCCTCCCCCTTCCACACTGGCAGCATTTCACTCGCTGCGTGTGTGTGTGTGTGTGTATGTGTGCGTGTGTATCAAACTTTACTATGGACTGGACCGTGAGCAGAGCGGTGAGGAGGCGGCCAGGTCATTGTCACCGGCGGCGGCAGGAGGATCCGCTTGGACTCGTAAAATCGCACGTCACCATTCAGAAAAATCGCCTGTGTTTGTGCGCGTGACTGTGTGTGTGAGTGTGTGTGTGTGTGTGTGTGTGAGAGAGTTTGTGAGAGAGACAGAGGGGGGGGGGGGGGGGGCGGAGGTGCGCCAAAAGCCGCCGTCGGATGCGCTCCAACACGCGTCGCCGAGGCCCCGGATGCACCCTGCGGTGCCCTGCGGCGAGCCGTTCCGGCAGCACTCCCACGAGTCCGTCAGGAAGCTTACTGGGGGCGCCGACGGCGGCCGGTCCGACCGAGCGACGTTCCAGAGAAACTTCAACTTCAGTGAGCCGTGGAAAGTGCTCCATCTTCGCTGAGCAAATTGCGAAACGGGAGACATACTAGCTTTCCTGGCCTAGTACTCGATGAAAATTATTATTTTATCTCAAAATCCAATGAAAAATAATACACGTTAAGTTGGTGTTAGTGTATTTTCAAACGGTTTATCGAATGTCGCAGGATACTGCCTTAAGGGGCGCCAAAGGAAAGTTTTTGGAGCTTTTATGGGGATAGGAATGACATTAACGTCGCTTATACATGCTTTGCTTTCGTCCGACGGAGTGGAGGAAATATATTTTATCGTTGCGTTCGGCCACTTATCGGAAATTCCTCATCCTAAAAGACCGGCGATCCATACTTGTGATAGGCGACAGACAGAATGAGAGAGAGAAAGAGAGAGAGCGAGGCAGAAGGTGCGGATTAAGAAGGGTATGACAGGGGGAGGAGTCGGGAATGTGCGTGTGGGTGAAGGCCGATTTCCTGGGGCAGAAATGTCAACAGAAGCTCTCTAACGCAATACCGCGCGGGGCCCCCCCGGACTGGGAGGGGGAGAGGGGGAGGGGGGATGAGGAGGAGGGGATGGCAAAGGTGAGCGCTGCTCTCTTCGCCGGCATATCATCTCCTTGGAATGCCATTTGTATTCGGATCGCACATCGCGCCGATGACAATAGGATGAAGGAGACGTCGCACGGAAAGCCCACATCATCGTCGATAAAAGTTCGCGATATCGATAATGGGTCGGCAGAGGGCGGTGCATATGTGCGCTCAAAGTGCTCGGACGAGAGGCATGTTACGCGAGACATTCTCTGGCGCACAACAGCTGTTACAGTTCGAACGCGCTGTATTGCATAAAGGTTATTGTTTCTGAATACGATCGTGCGATGGTTGCACCTCGTCCTTTCAAGACGGCCCCCGCCTTCTGCTCTACAAGGGATGCTGGGCCCTGGGCCCCCGGCCTCTGAAGTGGGGCCCATAGTCAGAGGCCTACACCGGGCCCATCGCCTGCCCGGGCCCGGTGGGGGCTACTGACTCAGGAATGTCTCCCCGGAGGTCTGGACCCTCCCCAACATCCTCCGGGACTCCTGGCTCCCACATCTCCCCCCCCCCCTCTTTCTCTCCCTGACACACACACACGCACACATACACACACACGGTGACTCACACAAGGACAACACTTTAGTAGTTTACAGTGGCACATTTGGTTTGTCATTGGCAGTGGGTGTGTATTTGTGGGTGTAGTAGAGGCAGTCGTTAATTTCCCACTATGAGCTCAAGATCCAATCTGCCAAATTCTGGCGTAGTACATCAAAAATATTTTTACAAGCCCCTTGCGTTGGAGTGGATCAGCAGCAGCGGCCCGTCGATGCGGGGGAAGGGAGAGAGAGGGAGTGATAAGAATTACGCAAAAGAAAAAACTGAAAACACGCCAACAATGGGATTTAAGGTGGAGGAAGAGGTGTATACAAAACGAGAAAACGGCAGAAAAGAAGCAGAGAGGGGCGAAGCGGCAGCGAGCTATCGACGCGGAGAATATTGCTCATGTTTCCAGACAAGGCCTGCGCACTGGGTCGTGTGATGCAGACGGACAAGCGAGTCCGCCCGGAGGCCTGCCGGAGAGGCCGAGGGGCTCTGGTCCCAGTGCCGCCACCGCCTGCGCACCTCCACCGGCCCGCGCCAGCCCGGCAGGACCCCGCGTGTTGAATTGACAACTCTGGCGGTTGGCAGCCTTGTTTCTCGTAATAACGCCGTGTTGTGTTTTCACGCAAGACTTGTTGTTTGAGACAAACACGTGTCAGCGGCGCGGGTCTGATTGGCCGAGCTGAGACATGCGAAGCTCGCCCGTCCATACGCTGCTTATCCCCCCAACTCAGCGCAGCGCTCTGCGGCTTCTCGGAAACGGGCCGCCCGCCCCGCGCCAGCAGCAGCCGCCCAGGTAGGCATATGCGGTGTGAAATATTGTCCGAGCCGCGCGGAAGTCGCCCCCGCCGGCCGCCCGGCGATTACAGGCTCCAGATATGATTTCAGGAGGGCCAAGCCGTGGGCCGCGTACCCCCCTAAACCGGAGAACCCCACTTGTCCTACCTTTCATTTGTCCTACCGCATGAAATACTGGTAAAAACGCTACTTTAAGACTTAAAAACGCAATATTAATATACGATATTTATATTGGTGGTCGTTTGT